GCTGCGAGCGCGCGGGGACCGGGGGCTCCACACCCAGAGGCGAAAAATGAGGGGGGAACAAAAAATATATGTGTGTGATGTGTCCCCGAGAGAAGCGCTCGTGGGGCAGCTCGGGTGCGCGCTGAGGTAGCGAGTGTCGTGCCTGGGGGTGCTGCGCTTAGCAGGCCCGCGGCGCCCAGCCCCTCGGGCGGGGAGCGCAGCGCGTTTCCCAGCGAGGCCTGTGCTGAGGGTGTCCCCGGGGGTCAGGCACGATGAGGACACAGTGATGGAGCTGCCCGTTTGTCTGCTTGTTGTGCTGCAATTGTAGAGCTTGGTTCTATCGTGGTGTCGTTTCAGCTGTCTCGTCCTTTAACATCGGGTTAGACCCCCGCCACAATCAATAAATGGACCTACTGGAGCTTATTTGAGGAACTGGGGAGCAAGGGAGCTGCGTCACAGTGTTACATGATGATACAATTTTATCACAGCACTCCAGGGCCCAAGGAGACTCACCATTAGTTATTTTTGATGTACTTTCAGCACAGTATTCCTTCATGCTTTGGGATGTACGTTTTGGAAGCAGTAGAGGCAGCATCAAGGAAAAAGTTCAGGTTTATGCCATAGGTCAAAACAGTAAAAAAAAGTTTTTTTTTCTGAAGCTCTTACAGGACTTGATGCGCCCAGCCCCAACGCATCGCCATCATGTCGGGCACTGTGTCCATTCTCCAGCAATTTGCCAATGGCTTGAAGAGTCGCAGCGAAGAAACAAGGGCCAAAGCTGCCAAGGACCTGCAGCACTATGTCACCATGGAGCTCCGCGAAGTGAGTCCTGCAAACGAGATAATTTATTGCTGTCACATAAGTGTAATGCATTGGCTGGGTCATTTGGGGGTGTGGAGATTTTGAATATGGAAACTGGTGTCAGAGATGCAGCAAAGGATGGCACTTACCTTTGGCCCTGTGTGTAGACAAGGGGGCTGAGTTGGTGACATGGGTGGTGGCCAAGCAGCAGAGTAAATAAAACCTCACAGGCTTAGGACTTAAAGGAGTTATACCACTTTGTGTTTGTAATGTATGTTTAACTTAATTTCTTGGTGTTTAAAAGACCTAGGAGACATTATCTTTTGAGAGATGTCTGTGGTAGTGGAGAATGATGA